TGATGTGTGAAAAGAAGCTGGATCGATTAGGATATTATTCAGTGGAGTTGAGAAGAATGGGAGCAATAGGGGCTTACATTTTTAACAGGATTAGAAATGCAGAAGGTGGCCCCAATGACCATGGAGTCAAGAACCAAGAGTCACAGTAGAAGGCTTGAGGCTAGGCCATTTAGGACCGAGATGAAAAGAAATTTCTTCATCTAGAGCATGGTGAGCCTGTGGAATTCTGTGCTATATAAAGAGTTTGAGGCTGAAACACAATCTTTTCAGGAGGAGTTAAATATAGTTCTTAGGGCTCAAAGGATCAAAGGAGATGGGGAGAAATTGGTAACTGGTAGTAAATTGGATCATACTGAATAGCAGAGCAAGCTTGAAGAACCAAATAGCCTACTCCTGCTCCTATATTCCATCTTCATAAGACACTAGTTTGAGCATCAAAATTATTCAATTCATACTGACTAGGTGTGCACAGTTACTTCATTTGACCAAAGGAAAGTTAGTTGTAAGGATTCCAGACTGTAGTCATACCTTATTTCAAATGTAAGCCCAGAGAAAATGTCTCTCTCATATTGGTCTGGAAACATTAACTCTATTTCTCTCAACTATTTAACATACCTACTTCCTGCTATTCAAACTCATGTTACCAATTAGTACTGTCTACATCTTTTAGAATGATATGTTTGTGTTATTTGCAGCATCTTTACAAAGTACAGAGTGCTGACTTGGTTAGTGACTGCCAATGTTCCAGCTGTTTATCCAGATGTACACAATCAAAACTAAATGGCAGAATTTCAAGATATACTGTTCAGCAAACCCTGAGAATAATGTCGGTAACATGTAGTTCCGGATTCAGGAGTTTTATCATGTACTTGGTACCTTGAAATAACAAGTTCAACAGTTCTTCCTTGAATGTTGAAATCAGGTAGTGTTCACTCCTAGAGGAAATCCCTGAGGTGTGTATGCAGGAAACAGTATCTGAACTCAGCTAAGACATTAGCACGTAATAGTATGGACTGACTGAAGACAGAAGACAGCTTCAGTTACAAAAACAGAAAATATGGAGAAACTTAGCAGGTCTAGCAGCACCGGTGGAGAGAAAAACAAAGTTAATGTTCGAGTCCACTGACCTCTTCATCAGGACAGAGCTTCTCCAACACTGTTTCCATTTCAGTGTTTCAGCATTTGCAGGCTTTGTCAGATTCAGCTAAATTGACTGCTTGCACGTTTGAGAATCATGGAACTGCATGTCAACACACTGTCTTTGGGTGAGGCAGTACCACTTCAAGCTAATGGGGTTTATATAGGCCTTTTATATATCACAATGTTCCAAAGTGCTTCGCAGGCATGTTGTCGAAAAACGTTTTCCGTAGGAATGAACTAAACTGTGAGTAGAAAGAGTCTGGAAAGGAAAAAACAAAGCCACACAAAAGACACGTTCATCTTGCTGCTTCCAATGTTTTCCTTTGCCTTAATCAAAAATTCATCTTTTATAATGTGCTCACATCACCAAAGACTATGGTGACTGAAAAATCATCATTGTGGCTTGCAATGTTTGAAGTAATTTGTGACCAAATGGGCTCTAACCTGCTTCATGCTATTTTCCTCTTATAAATGGAGACTTTTTCTATTATGAAGCCAGGGTATTGAAATTTATTCTTCAAAAGCAATTTTAAACAATAATGGAATCAGAACAGTTACTTACCTCTGGTCTATGATTTTCATTGCCCTATTAAGCTGAACTGCACATAAGGAACTTCCAGATATTTAAAAGGATTTTGTGTTGATATTTTTTAATGGCTCTTGTTATATAGGTCTAACAGAATATAAGCTTACAGATACAACCATGAACCTAGATTTTACAATCAGTGGCAAAACAACAACTTTTACCACTGGCCTCAAAGAAGCTATCCACAAAGATTTAGTGATCTCTCAGGTGATTTCCAAGCAGCCAGCAACAATGAGCTAAAGCTATTGAAGCAAAACATATCAAAGAACTCTTGCATTATTTTTATAGAGAGGAAGGAGAGGTTGCAATATACACATTAGATGCTGAAATATAAGCAATCTTTAAAAAATTACAAACCTATGAAAACACAAAAGGAATAACATTATACAAATATAAAATAAGTTTTCTAGGGCCTGCAAAGTTCTTCAGCATTATGACGAAGTACATAATAAAAATACAACTGTAATTCATGAGCAAGGGGAGCAGGAGGGTTAAGATAACAGCATGGCTACAACTTAAAGGGAACGTTTTCTTCAGTGATCTTGAACTGATTTTCATCTGGAGATACGCAATGGAGAAGTGTAGAACCTAATAGACTTCCATGTTCAACTGCGCATACTTCAACTCCAAGTTGTCGGTTTTAGAGATTAATGATGGCAAACAGACGGTTATTTTTACTACTACAAAATCCAGGCTACTACTTCTAACAGGTGAATCATCATAGTAGGAAGTTTCACAAAAATTAGTTTGGCATCTTTTTCCATCAATAACAATTTCACATAAGAGACCGAGTGTCAGTGATCATTAAATTATAATGCAAGCATCTTTGAAATTTTTCATGCAGGACCAGTGGAATCAGTAAGGAAAGCACCTTTCACGCTATTAAATCTGCTGGGCTTCAGTCTTAATCTTTAAGGAAGTCAAGAGCTCAACGCTAAACACTGTGCTAACTAGAGGTTTGATTAACGTCTCCTGATCCCTGCCATGTCCACGGCATTAACAATGGTCACCCAAAAAGTTCCAAAAGATTTTAAGCTGGCTGTTGTCAAAACAATTTAGTAGTATAATTAGTTACACAATATCACCACAATTAATCCCTCAAAATCAGCAAAATATTTTCTCATACCCAAATTTTCAAATATAAAAGGCATAACAATTGCTTATCTACACCTCAAGTTTTAGGCGAATAAACATGGCATATCTAGGAGAAATAAGTGCAGTAACACAGTCTTTTTCTTCTCCAGACATTGCTACAAAGTAAATTCTATGCCACCCTTCATCTAATTGTTTTAAATAACCTATCAAGATTAACTTCACAATTAACGAGACAGCACCCACCCACTAAAACAGGTCATATGAAGCTGCAGTGAAAACCCCAAGTCTGAAAGTGACCTTCAATATTCTATATTATAATGCGTACAAATAAGCAATTTCTAAAAAGCAATTTGTCAATAATTGAAACAGAAATCAAAGCTGCTGTCAGTTTTTTAAAACTGAAGCAGCTTTTCAAAAATAGGTCCAAATCTGCACAATTTTATTGGTTACTCCATTTGTCCCTGCTGTGATCAAAACTACTACATAAAAAGGAAATAAAGGCACTAACTGGGTTTGTGGCAAAATTTTCAAATCAAAAGAACACCAAATAAAAACAAAGCCACAGCCCTAGCAGTTCTGAAATGTTAAGCCCATAACAGCTGCAAAGATTTCATTTTATCACAACCTCTACTGGACTGCCTACACAGTGACAAAATGGGCATCCAATTGGTCAATTATAAAAGTTATTAAAATCTGTCAAAATCTTACTTCTTAAATAATGAAACTAAAGCACCTTCCCTGATTTGAAATAAAAAAAGCACATTTTATCTCCATTCACAAAAGGAGAAACGCAAGAGTCAGTCTCAAATCGAGTCTACAGTAATACATAGCATTCTAAATTTCAACTACTGCATGTCCAAAAAAAAAATCACTCCTACTTTTTCACTTCCAAGAGAACAAAAACATCAAATGCAAGGAGCTATTGGAGACAAATAATTCCATACAGACTAGAATGTCAATGATTTGCCAATGTCCAAAGTGTACCAATGGTGGGGTTACCCTGCAAAAATAAAGCAGGGAATGGAGATATTGCTGTGGTGATTTACAGAATGGTCAGTTGTTATTAGACATTTTCTCATTTGTAGGAAACAATCCAAAAGTTTAACCCTTCCAACACATTTACTGACCACAACACACTATGGTTTATTTAGCAGTATGTTAAAAGGAAACTCTAAATTTTAGCATATTTCAAATCAAAACACGAGAAGTCCTTTATCACTTTCCAACTTCATTACCACACAATACCACTTCTTCACTGAACAACCTAACTTGTTTCAACTATTTTCGCCAAGAACTGGCCATTGCAATTGACGGAATAAAACCTTAAAATATTTCAAGTTCTGCAACATTATAGAATTCCTAAAATTTGTATGATTTAATTTGGATTGAAGGACTTTTATCAAAATAACATGTCTCAGAATTGTTAGAGGACAAGTGGTGTTATAATGAGTAGTTTGTGTCAGAGCCAATTACAAAGTCAGATTAATTCAAAATTAATTTCCATTTAATACTATTCTAGGATATTTGCTGCCTTAAGGACTGAATTTCACAATTGACAAGTATTCTGAAAACACTAAAATAGAACCTTTATGTTATTTTTAGTTGATGCCTGTGTTACACCCCAAAACAAAGGGTCACCGCTCACTTCAATTTGAATTAGAAGGTGAGCCATGTTGGGAGGAGGAGGAGAGGGTAAGGTGGAAAAAAGGAGTGAAATAAGCATGTGAACAGAGCATGTGCAAAGGAGCACATGGTGGCAAGAGACTTGAGGACATGGGCAGAAGACGGAGGTGTTTTTAAACAAGCTCAAATTCAAAGATTTTCTAATTGTAGTATTTAAAGTGGGAAGATGATAAGCTCAGGGAGGTATAATGGGAAATTTGATGCTGTAAATATCACTTCTTATTTTAACAGGGCTACAGCGGTGACACTGTGTCCGATAAACCAGAATTGGTTAAGTAAAGATAATAAGCAATATAATAACTCCACATTTCCCAGCCAGAATTACATGTAGGCAAGAGATTTCAGTTAAACAATTTTACAAACCATGTATCTTAGGCCAGCAGAAAAAGTCAAGCCGGTAAACGTCACACTAAAACATAAGCATTGCTCTAAAGAAGTAAACTAATTTGAAGATGCCATCTTATTGCAATTAAAGAATAATAAATAATTTACTTACCATTGAAATGCATTATAATGGAAGTAGACAAGACCAAGGCCATATAAAAAGGCAGCATTCTATGGGGAGAAAATATTTAAAAGTTTTAGTAATATAATGAAGTCACTCTTATTTTTGTTGCAACAGGCCAATATCACCAAACACGCATTAACTTATTTACTGAATTTTTCAGTGTAGAATCTGCATATAAAATTAGTAGAAAACATAGTCAGTACATTTCAAACTAACTGTAAGTGCAGTGTTTTGAGATGCAATACCATGGACTAGATCATTTGGAAATTCAAAATCAACTTTGCAGCATTTGTGCAAAAAAATCATGTGTTTCACCCAGCCATAATCAGCCAAAAATAAAAGTACGACAAAAGAGACAGAAAAAGGCATGACTTTTAAAAAAGTGAGTTTTAAGGAATATCTTCAAGAATGACAAAGGTAGAGAATGGAAAAGAAATTGCTGGAGAAACTCAGTGGTCTGGTATCATCTGTGGAGAGAGAAAGAGAATTAATGTGAATTCTCTTTCAGAACTGAAAGTAGTTGGAATTTATGTTAAGAAACACACTTCTGGCACAGGCAGAGGAGGGGCAAAGGGAATAAATGGTGTAGAGGCCAAGTATGAGAGACAAAGGGGCAGTTGATGATGGTGAAAGAGAGAAAAGATGCAAGTCGGATATGAAAGCTAGAGAATGGGTCTTCTCTACTTCGATCAAAGTAAACAAAACTCAAATAAAACAAAGCTGTGTGCTTGCATGTGGTTTGGGAGGGAACAGTAGGAGAGAGAACACAAATAGGATGGAGAACATCAATAAGTTCTGAAAAAGGGTTACTGGACCTGAAAAAAAAGTTAACTGTTTCTCTCTCCACACATGCTGCCAGGCCTGCTGAGATTTTCCAGCAATGTCTGCTTTCGTTTCTGACTTCCAGCATCTGCAGTTTTTTTTTGATCAGTCAGTCAGGCTCTGATGCTGTGAAATTCAATATCAAGTCCCAGAGACTGTCCAGTGCCTGAACAAAAAATGAGGCTTTGCTCCTCAAGCTTGCATGGTGCTTTGTTGGACAGAAATGTTAGTATAAGAGCAAGGTAATTTATTGAAATGGCAAGCAACTAGAAGGTTGAGGTCATTCCTGCAGACAGCAGAGGTGCTCTGCAAAGCAGTAACCCAGTCTGCTTCTGGTCTCACTCACATAAAGGAAACTGTATTGTGAGCAGCGAATACAGGAGACAAGTTTGAAGTAGCAGAAGCAAAATGCTGCTTCACTTGGAGGATATGTTTGGGGCTTTGGACAGTGAGGAGAGAGATGGTGAACGGGCAAGTATCATTCATTTTGCGATGGCATGGGAAGGTGCCATGGGTGAGGGGAAATTCTGGGAGCAAAGGAGGGGACCAGGGCATCACAGAAGGAACAATCAATCACTGCAGAATGCTGACAATGGAGGGGAGGGGAATGCGTTTGGCCAAAATAACAGAGGATGGTGCGAGTATGGGACAGGCAAAACTGTGATTCTAAATAAGGGAATGTTGCAATAACAATTCAGAGGGAGAGATGGAGTGTGTTCAGGAAGCTAAAAAGAAGCCGATACACATCAAAACATCAAATTGTACAATTAGATGTCATAGGATATCAAGCAGGAAATGCACAATCGATAACAGGGACATGACAACAAATAAAATACAGCAAACAAAAAAAGTACTGAGATACTGGAAATCAGAAACAAAACCATATTGCTAGAAAAACTCAGCAGGTCCAGCAGCATCTGTGGAAAGAAAGCAGAGTTAAGGTTTCAGGTCCAGAGAGCTGCTGAGTTATTGTGGGAATGCATTTTTATTGTTGAATAAAATATGAAAGAGGGTCATAGATTTGAGACAAAGCATACAAGGGGAATGCTGAAAAGAACTATTAACTGTAATACGGTCACAAAAGGATGGCTACTGCTAACAGCTAGTCTTACCAGGAGATCCACTTTGATTGCATACCATGCTCGTGTCTTGCATTATCCTTGCAGACCTATTGTAGGTCCTTAGGTAACCTCTATCACATCTATCATTCCGTTTTACCAGGTCGAACCTTTTCTGTTGCCTTCCACGTTGCCATTTCCAAAAGATTTCTGTTGCTTTCAGCTCTACTCAATCAGCCAAAATACTGACATTTCCTTTTTCTAGATATCTTTTTGAAATCACAAGAGCAAAAATAACTCTATTTTCACCTCTTCACTTATGTTATGGTTTATATGTGAAACATCTCGCAATCATCTTGGAAACCACAATGTTAAGGCTACAGCTTTCTTTCATAGATCTTTATTTATTGCCTAGGTTTCTAAGGCATACAAAAAAGTGACAGTGAAAGAATAATGTATTTTTCTAAGTCAAGATGATGAATGGCTTAGACAGAAACTTGCTGTAGGTGATGTTTCCATGTATTAGCAGTCCTTCTAGAAGGAATTAGACAACACCTTCCAAACCCAAGGCTAAGTATCATTAGCAAATTTCTGCAGCCCTTTTTGTCGGTCGTACACGCTGCTGCTACTAAGCATCAGTGTTGGAGGGAGCGAATATTTGTGGATATGGTGCCAACCAAGCATACTGTTTTGTCCTGGATGGCATTAAGCTTGAGTGCTACTGAAGCTGCACTCATCTGAGCAAGTGGGTAGTGTTCCATCATGGTTGCCCATTTGCTTGCTGAGCCGGGCGTGGGTCAGGAAGACCAGGTTCAAGTTCCACCTGCTCCAAAGGTGTGCAATGACCTCTCTAAACAAGCTGATTAGAAAGCATCAAATTAAGGCATGAAGAAGGTGGTGAAAGGTCTTGTAGCACATTGGTAGTGTCTCTACTTCTGGGCCAAAAGGCCTGGGTTTAAGTCCCACATGCTCCAGAGGGTGTCAAAACAGGTCTGAACAGGTTGATTAAAAATATGAAGAGGATGGGGGTGGGACTTTCCTTAATGGATGATGTTTGCTACCCACTTAGATGATTGATTAGGTGATTTTGTGGTCAGTCTTCAAAACGTGGTGGGAAAGAAATAATGGTTTTTTTGGCAACTGTCTGGAAAATAAACAGGGGAAACCTGTCATTCTGTACCATCTTAAGTTTGTAACTTGACAAGGGAAAATTAAAATCAATTAAAAACAAGAAAGCAGGCCAGACTCGCATCCATTTTACACTTTTTAGAACCACAATACATGATTGGAAAAGTGCTTTAAGCCAATTGTGGTAAAAGTCCGTAATAAACATTACTGTTTGGGAACTTTGATTCTAAATGGAAAAACGATGTATTACTTCGAGTTTAATTTCTACTTCTTTACTTAGATGTATTCTGAGAGTGGTAAAGGTGTTATGGAGATCGGTTTTGTTTAGGAACACAAGAACAAGAGGCTATTCAACCCTCGAGCCTGGACTGCCATTCTCAATCACAGCTCATCATCTGTCTCAACACCAAATTCTCTTGATCTCATCAATAACAAATCTAACCACTCTACTTTTCTTAGTAAGTGAACTTGCACAGCCTATTGCCACAGATAATTCCAAATATCACAACTCTGAGTGAAGAAGTTCCTCAGAATCTCTGTCCTAAATAACTTGCCTTCTATTCTGAGCCTGTCCCCCAAGTCCAAGTACTAGACTCCATGACATGTACCCCTTGAAGAATTTCTAAATTCCTAAGATTGTCTCACATTCCTCAAAATCTCTCCTCAGCGGACAATCCATCTATCACAGGGATCAATGAACTTCCCAAATGTTAAGTATATCTTCCCTTCCTTAAGCAAAGGGACCAGAACTGCACATAATACTCCAGGTTCCATCTTGCCAGTATTCTATATTATTGAAGCAAGACTTCTTTGTTCCTGTATTCAAATCCTCATGACAAAGACCAAAATATGATCCGCCTTCCGAACAGCTTGCCAAACCTGCATGCTGGCTTTCAGTGGCTTATGAGAAAGGACACTCAGGTTTCTTTGGACAATACTTTCCAATCTTTCACCATTGAAGAAATATTCTGTGTCTTATTCCCTCCTACCAAAATAGACAATCTCACATTTATCCACATTATCTCATCTGTCATGCTCTTGTCCACTCGCTCTGAAAGAACTGTGGATGCTGTAAATCAGGAACAAAAACAGAAGTTGTTGGGAAAGCTGAGCAGGTCTAGCAGCATCTGTGAAGAAAAATCAGAATTAATGTTTCAGGTCCAGTGACCCTTCTCTGAGGAAGGGGTCAGCAGACCTGAAACATTAACTCTGATTTTTCTTCACAGATGCTGCCAGACCTGCTAGCTTTTTCAGCAATTCCTGTTTTATTCTCAAAAATCTCTCAGGTTTGTAAAACATAACTTTCCTTTCATAAATCCATGCTGACTCTGTCCAATCAGATATTTAGAGTCATGGAGCTGTATAGAACGGAAACAGATCCTTCGGTCCAACTAGTCCATGCCGACCAGATATCCCAAACCAATCTAGTCCAATCTGCTAGCATTTGGCCCATATGCCTCTAATCCTTTGTAATCACATAGCCATCCAGATGCCTTTCAAATGTTGTAATTGTACAGCCTCCACACCACTTGCTGTGGCAGCTCATTCCATACACGCACCACCCTCTTGGTGAAAAGGTTGGTCCCTTTTAAATCTTTCCCTTCTCACCTTAAACCTATGCCCTCTAGTTTTAGACTCTGGTACCCTGGAGAAAAGACCTTGGCTATTCACCCTATCTATGCCCCTCATGATTAATAGACCTCTGGGGGTGCCCCTCAGCCTCCGATGCTCTAAGGAAAATTGCCCCAGCCTATTCAGCCTCTCCCTATAGTTTAAACTCTCCAACCCCAGCAATGTCCTCAGAAATCTTTTCCAAATCCTTTCAAATTTCACAACATCCTTCCTATAGCAGGCTGACCAGAAATGGAAGCAGTATTCCAAAAGTGGCCTGACCAATGTCCTCGACAACTGCAACATGACCTCCCAACTCTTATACTCAATGAACTGACCAATAAAGGCAAACATACCAAATACCTTCTTCACTAACCTATTTACCTGGAACGCCACTTTCAAGGAACTATGAACCTGCACTCCAAAGT